GACTCCCGTGTTGGTCGCGATGCCTTAACGAGCATTGCTTACTGGGTCAATCCCAATGAGCAATGTAAGTTAAGTCATCGGGACTGACATGAGTATGAATGTGCTAAGAATCCAATGAATCTAACTAGTGTCATTCTCTTTTGTGACACTCTTTAGATTTTTTTTTGATCTTTAGGATGGGACCAGTAAAATGACCCCGTCAAAGTCATATCATATCTACTTAACCCACACTTAGATATTAGGTTAATGCACTTTTCGTTAGATGGTGTGTTAGGCTAGAATTTAGGGAGTTAGGTAGTCTTTTTTCTGTCTGGCTATTGTTCTCTGTCAGATATCTTTCTTTTGCATTATGCTTGTAATGTGACTGCATGTTGCATATGTATGGTAGTGTGTTAGGGCGTTCTTCTGCAGGGAGCCATGTCTATTTTCAAACACACACACAAGTACCGCTATGAAGGGAGCAAGCAATGATTTCTGACCCTTTTCTTGCAGGTGCTATTAGCTCCCCCCACTTTTAAGGCATGGCTTGTGATACGTTATGTGCATGTGAGTTGTCCTGCTGACACTTGCTTTCATGCAGGTTGAGTCTTTTTTTTTTCTCTATGTATTTTTTAGAGTCTAGGAGAGTCCTATAACATAAATAAGATACGGACACGGGTTCACGGGAACCACGTAGAAGGGACTAGGAGCAGATGTTCGTGTCTTGTATCTTAATTCTGCATTTTATATTGAAGTATAGAATTAAGACCGGGCATGCATATGCGGAGTCCAGCCGCCTTTTTCTTTTCTGAGATATGTTGTCGACCCAACGGCACCGGTCTGTTTATTATTTTGGTTTGACTTTGTTTTTTTTTTACATCATGTTGCATGTCTTCACTTGCAAGTGTTTTATCTAAGATTTCACGAAACAACATAGACTCATTAAGGACCCTAAAATTTAAATTTTCTACAAAATCCTAAATAAAATATTCAAGATAATTAAAATTTAGGATTAAAATATTCAGGAT